TAAGGAGAAATGAGAGGCAGCATCTCCATCTCTGACAGCATTTTAAAAGGCTTTACATCTGTCCTGGGAAGGTTTAGGACTGCAAATACTGAGGAGAGAGAGACAAGTGCCCTCAGTGAAGTGTGTAAACCCGGGAGTAAACAGTCCTTAGGATCCAGCTCAATCCTTGTTATTTCCTGGTAGCTATTTTAAGAAGCCTGATCTATGCTGTGTGTGCAGTCACTGTGCTCTGAGCCAGGCCAGTGCTGCTGGCCAAGGGAATGCTCTTCCCCAGTTCACTCACTTCTGCTCCATCCTATGCATGAGCACTGGGGTTCCCACAGTAAGTCATATCTGGGATTTACGGTCCTTCTGTGGTGGTTTTGTTGTTTCTTTTGTTGGAATCGGGTGTGTGTCAAGTTAACTTTCAGCTGATTGCACTTTCTGCATGACTGTTTCATTGCAGGAACAGGTAGACAGAAACAAAAGAGAGGGAGGAATGGGTAAGACATCCCCATGTATTTGGGCAGCAACATACTTTTAAAATTACTGGGTCACTTTTGCATGGGAATGCTGTCTGTTGTTAGTCCCCTGCTCTAATCGAGGGTTATAACCAAAGGTATGGATTTTGTGGTGAGGAGGGACCCAGACCTGTTGGTGGTTCCCACCATTGGGTCCTGCCTACCTTTGCTGATGTGTGGAGCTCTGCAGATGCAGATGGCCCTGTATTGTCCAGGGGTAGCAACACACATCTCTGTGAATATGCTGCAGTATGCAAGTGAAGAGCTCTGCTTTTGATGTTGCATGTAGGATTTGCAGTCATTTCTACATGAATCTGATTTTATCTTGCAACAACCTGGGTTGCTGCTTACAGCTTTTTTTCCGTCTGTGTTCTCTCCCTCCTGGCTGTAGCTTTTGCGTGTACTGTTACACCATGGATCTAAGTGCATTCTTACTCGAGTTTGGGAAGTGGTTTGTGTTTGTGGCCTGTGGGAGAATTAAAAGGACTGTTGGTCCTCCTATTGGTGAATATTTCTGATAGTCCTTATGGGCTGAATATTTATTTCAGGGTTTTCTGCACCTGGTGGTTTTGAGGGTTAGGAGGGAACATAACTGTCTGCTGCTTACAGTTGCTGGGGGAATTCACAATTTTAAAAAAGCCTAAAAAAGGGTTAGTTGGGAAGTTACAAAAAATAAAACAAATATCCACTATTTAAAAAGCCTGTCTCCTGAAGCAAACAGTTCCTTGCTATAAATTAACCAGTAAGGACTTTTCCACCCAGCTTCAACAGGTGGAATGTTGGTGTCTTAATGGTAATAGGAGAGTCTAACTGCTGCTTTTATAGACCTAATATATACATATATGCATTTAAAAAAGGTACCTGAAACCCAAAAAAATAATGATAGTATTAAAAATTAAAAGGAAATTAGCTTATAGACGTTCTCTGAAATAACTAAGCCTTACATCAGCTCCAAGAAAACTAGTGAAGAAAGTCAGACCAAGTAGACAAATATAGTAATGAAGCATTTATTGCTGATAAATAGAGTATTAAATTCTAGTTACTCGGTCTGAATAGAACATGGATACTTTTTAGCCTGTTTAAATGCTCAGAGTCAGAATTAGGTGAATATTAAGACTCAAGTACACCACACTGGGTCTGGCAGCTGGTGAAGTGGGAGCAGAAGATGATGTAAACAAGATGAGGTAGTGGGTTTGCAGAAGAGGCTTTGCCCACGCAATGTTACCTTCTCTTTGTCTGTGACGCTTTCATCATGTGATTTGTTTGAAAGGGAAGAACACAAAAGCTTGTCATAGGAAGAAATTTGGAGTGGGTTTTAGGACATACAGAAGCAGGTGGTCTGATGGTTTCTGTAGAGGCTACTGGAGGCCTTAGCACCCCACTACTGTTGTCATGTAAACTTTATCTTGGAATAATAGGCTACAGTAAGGAGAGAGGGAGAAAGCAGAGAAACATCATTCTTATTTCTAGCCTTCCAAAAAGATTGTGTAAGAGAGTGTTTGGCTGTCATTTTTCCATTCTCCTTCTTTTCTCACAGCAAAGAAGCAGACTGCTGTGAAATCTACTTCCGTATGAAATTACTTAGAAAAGAGGGGAAGGGTTCCTTGGAAATTTAGAAAACACGTCATGACACATGCTTTCTTCAGAAGCACAAAGATGTGTGGTTGTGACCTTATGCAACATTTCTGTATGATTTCCTTGAAGAAAAGGAAGCTGACAGATTGAGTGGGAGATTTCTTCACATTTTGACTAGACCAATGAAGCAGGGAAGTAAAACCAATATAAATAATACCAAAATGTCCAATAAAATTTGGACATTTTTAGATGGCAGGAGATGACGGTTATCCGATGAGTAAACCTTTGTTGTCCTGCTGCTAGAAGCCTCGAGTTTCCTTAGGCAGGAACTCTTGAACTTCTTGCTGTCAAGCCTTTGTTCCACCATCAAGCAAGAGGAGTGTGTGCTGGAAGAGAGCAGCGCTCCCCCATACCAAGCAGAACCTGTGGAGAGGAAATGTGTTTTCTTTTCAACTCTGCTTTCCTTCTGTCTCATTTCTAGGCTTGAAGAAGCAACAGGTTTTCCCTTATAACTTCAGCCTAGTTCTTGTGACTAACTTAAAGGGAGCAAAGACATGGGGAGTTTACCTGGATCGACCCCCAAGTTTAGGAAGTTAGTAGTGGTTGGCTGAGCAGTGGTGGCTGTCCTTGCTTGTGTTCTTAGTCCCCAGCAAATGGCTGCTTCCTTTCCTGCAGGAAGTCACGTCACTTTGCTCTTGTCAGCAGCCACCAGGGTTTGGCTTTTGCATGCTGATGTTAAGCACCACAGCTTGTTTGTGTCTGTGAGCCCAAGATACTAAGAAGTAGAATTTCACAGTGTGTAGAGCAGGGACTTTTCCTCCATGCTAGGAATACTATATGTACTTAGGCAGTGAGAGGTGAATTGTTAAGAAATATGCACTCCTAGAAATTGTCTGTATGTCTCTAACAAGACTCCAAGCTTCATCAGATCGAGACAGTGTTCCACCCTGCCCAGCATCTTGCTTTCTTGTGGTCTTCACACAAGTGTTAGAGCTCCCATGTTCTTTTCTTTTCTGGAATTCATTAATTGAGATGGGTGGAAAGAGATGCTCATATTGGGGCAGTGGGGGCAAGTGGGATGTTTAAATCTGCCTGAACAGGACAGAAGACAAAGAAAGCGCATAGGTTGTGTTGAAAAGATGTGGGAGTGAGAGCTTACCCTGGTTGCTTTTACATTTCCTGTGCCTGGAAAAGGCCGCCATATAATTCCAGACATCAAGAAGTAGCAACTGTAATGGCACGAGAAGAATATTTTCGTGGGTAAACTGCAAACAAATTGAGGAGGCATGGAGAAGACCTGTGTGTACAGTTCTCTACCCAAGCAGACAGAAGTGTGTTTCTCATTGCATCAAGTATCCTGTCTGAGAAAGTGTTTGATTCTATGGTCTGGCAGCAGACAGAAGAGCTGCTGACACAGTACACTGACGAGCATTGTTCTTTGCCGATGGGAAAGAAAGGCCTAGCTGACCTTCTGTCTGCTTTCATACGGAAAAGAGATAGGAAGTGGAGCAAGATGGGTTATAGTTTGTTTTCTGGACTTGCATACAGTTAGGGGAAGTGACTTGGTGTGATAAAGCTGTAGTATCCACACTGATGTGTAAACAGTAGTAAGTTTGCATACAGTGATGACATGAGAAGCAAGGGAAGCCTGGAATGATACAGGAATTGGTGGATTCTTAACTTGATGACATTTACAAATAAATAAATAAATAAATCAAAACCAAAACAAACCCAAAATAGTAGCTGTCACTTGCAACCAGTTGGCTTGAGGAGCAGAAGTATTTATGTTTCACCATGAACAGTTATTGTTTAAAGGGAAGTTTTACATGGTGTGTATTGGGGATCTTGTCTTAATATGAGACCTCATTTTTGACTTAATCATGCCCTTCCTTCAACTTAGCAGTAAAAAGTTACCAGCTATTAGCTGTAGTCTCTTGAATAGAGTCTTTAATGCAAGTGTAACTTGAACTTGGTATCAACACGTTTTTGTCTAAGTCCACATAAACGTCTGCCATGGCAGTAATCTTGTGATTGTTTTAGAGCTATTTGAAAGTTGATTCCTGAAGTCAGAAGTCCCTCCCCACAGCAAAATTTTGTCTGTTAGATCAGTAGATATTTTTTTTTCTTATAAATGTAGCTGTTTTTAATAAAAATTAGGGAAAATCTCTTATTCCTCTTCTGTTCTTGTGTGTTTATTTACATTGAATGTCTGGGCCTTTTTAGCAGTTAAGGTTTCTGGACAGCTCCATTTCTTGCTGACAGCTATGCTAGATCTCAGAGGTTTGGATGCTGTTTCACATATGTTGTCTGTGAAATAAACTTGTTTAAGTGACATTTCCAAGGGAAATCCCTAAAACTTCCATGATTTCAGAGCAGGTGCTTTGATCTGAGTAGCAGTTTTATGTCAGAAGTGTGCTTTTTAATAACTGTGAATATTCATGCTGGAAAAATTCGTTTATATGCTCGTAGGGAACTTCAGTCTGTGTGTTCTGCAACTAGATGATAAAACAGATTTTGCTGGTGACAGTTTCATCTTCTTCACCAGACCATGGGCAGGAGACCTAATTCAAGTGAACAGAGGGAGAGTACTGAGTATAGAGGGTCTTATGATAGGGAAGATCAGGACAACAGTTCTACCTGGGACGAGAATGTGGAAATTGGATCCCTTTGCAGTGCCTGTCATATGATTGTGCTGACAGCCTGTGTTTGGGTTATTCTAAACTAACACATGCCTTAATTTGCAACATTGTGATGTGCTTTTAACCTAAATTTGAATGTGTCTTATGCTGTATACAGTGTTAGTCAAGCAGTATTTTATAATTGTATAATTATAATTTTAATTATAATATTAGATAAATTATATAAAATTATAATATAATTATAATTTTATAATTGTTAAAGTAACTTTTGTTTTTTCTCCTGTAGCACCTATCTACTCTGAGGACGTGTTTGGCATTGTGGGAGAAACTTTTACTTTTCCAGTAGAAATAAAGCAAAGAATAGAGGACATTACTTGGAACAAAAACAAAGATAAGGTGGCTGAACGGGACGGGCAAAACCCACCGACATACTTTACTCCTCTCAAAGGCAGGAGCGTGCTTAAGGAGAATGGGAACTTGACTATATTTAACTTGGAGAAGAGTGATGCTGGCACATATGAGTTACACTACTGGGATTCTGGGAATGGTGGTTTTTTAACATTCATTCTGGAGGTCTTAGGTAAGTAGGAGGAAGAACTGCATAAAGAATGTGCACCACTTTAAAAAATCTAGAAAGGGGGTTGTTAATTTCTCAACAAAGCAAACAGAAACAGAGGGGAGCTGTTCTTTGGCTCTGTTGTTAAGTTTCTTAGGCATGTTGAACAGATTTTCAAAGGTGGCATCTAATTTGTATGCCAGTCATTACTCACCATGACTTTTAGTGTGTGGAGATGGCACGCTGTGCTTTCAGGTAGACAGCCAAACCCTCTGAGCAAGATGACCATGTTATCCCAGGCATTATGTGCTTGCATATCTGTGACATCATCCTGTGCACATCTACTCATCTTCACTAGCACTCTTTGGGAAATACATTTGCCCAGTGGGTATATTAGTCCTGTTGACAGTGAGCCATAAGAGGCCTTTAACTAGGCATGGAAGAACCACAAAGAGGTGGTTTATGGGTTACTTTTAGAAACACATTTCTCTCTTTCTCATGTGTGCATATGCACACAAACACCTTACATGAACACTTTTGTCTCTGCACTCTCTGCTGCTTTTGTTGCTCCAGCCCTTGTCCTGTGCTAAAATTCAAGGCAGTTTATAACTAAACTGAATGTTTTCTCTCCTTTCAGATCCCCCTTCAGAACCTAAAATAAGTCACAGCATCAAGGGTGATATCCTTGTGTTAAACTGTACATCAGATTTCCCATGGCCTGTGACTTACACTTGGAAGATCAGTAACGATCGACGCAGTCATGGGAGCCAGGAATTTTCCATCCCTGTAGAGGATATTGATGCTACCAAGAAAGCTACATGTTTCATTACGTTCTCACAAACGGAAAAGAGCTCTGAAATCTCTTTGATTCAATGCATTTCAGATAAAAAAGGTAATGAATGTGTCAGGTTGCAAACACAGGTCTGAGAGGCTTGGTTGGGAAGCAGCATGAACTTTGTAAGATTTCTCTTGACTTCTAGGGGAGTTGGATTTAAAGAGTAAAAAGCATCAGAAGTGATTTGTTTGCTAAAAGTGTGTACAAGGTTGATGGAAGGTATGAGATTGACAGTTTGATCCCCACCTATGGATACTTTTTGCAGGGATCTCAACAGAATAAATCATTCAGCTGTGACTTGACTGAGTATTAACAGAAGGAGACCAACTTAGAAGATCTCTTTTGAACGTTCTGGCCTTCTGTAATTTATGCTAATGACTTGTGCTCTTTGTACTGCTCTCCATAAATTGGAGTGAAACTATTCACTCATTTCAAGTGAGTTATCTAGCAGCATTAGATAAAATAATTTCTCATCTAGCATCATCTGCATGAATCAGTGAACATACTTCTTTCCTCCTTCACAGAGAGATATCAAAATTAGAAGAAAGAGTTTTCCTCCTGTTTCTCATTGCTTTGGGAAAGCCTTCAGCCTGAGGCTTGTGTTTTTTTTAAACAGAGTTAGAACATATTTGGAACCATTTCATTTGTAAGGTGTGTAAGGCAGTCCCTAGCTGACAAAGTTTCTCATTTCTGTGCAAAAGTAATTTTTGTTGTTTACTGGTGTAGAATTCTTCCTTCACTGGAGTTATGTGTTAGAAACTTGTTAAAAATGAGGTATGTGGTGGGTTGACCTTGGTTGACTGCCAGTTGCCCTTCAGGCTGCTCTGTCACTCCCCCTCCTCTGCAGGACAGGGGGAAAAAGTAGGACAAAAACCTCATGGGTTCAGGTAAGGACAAGGAGAGATCATTCAGCCCTTACTGTCACAGACAAAACAGACTCAACTTCGGGAAAATTAATCTAACTTATTGCCAATCAAAATCAGAGTAGGACAATGAAAAACAAGAACAAGTCTAAAACACTTCCCCCAAACCCTTCCCTTATTCCCAGACTCAGTTTCACTCCTGATATATCTGCCTTCCCCCCCGAGCAGTGCAGAGGGATGGGGAATGCGAGTTGCAGTCAGGTGATTACACATTGGTGCTCCTTCCTTCTTGAGGAGAACTCCTCACACTCTTCCCCTGCTTCAGTGTGGCATCCCTCTCACAGGAGGCAGTCCTCCCTGAACTTTTACAATGTGAGTCCTTCCCAAGGGCTACAGTTCTTCACAAATTGCTCCTGTGTGGATCCCCCACAGGGTCACAAGTCCTGACAGCAAAAATGCTCCAGGGTGGGCTCCTGTCTCCATGGGGCCACAGGTCCCGCCAGGAGCCTGCTCCAGTGTGGGCTTCCCCTGGGGTCACAGCATCCTTCAGGCATCCACCCATTCCATTGTTGGTCCTCCGTGGGCTGCAGGTAGATCTCTGCACCCCGGTGGACCTCCAAGGGCTGAAGGGCGACAACCTGCCTCACTATGGGACACCATGGGCTACAGGGGAATCTCTGCTCCGGTGACTGGAGCACCTCCTACCCCTCCTTCTCCACTGTCCTTGACGTCTACAGGGCTGTTTATATCACATGTTCTCAGTCCTCTCTCCCTGCTGTTATTGTCCAGCAGTTTTCCCGTTTTCTTAAATGTGTTATCCCAGAGACACTTACCATGGTTGCTGGCGGGCTCTGCCTTGACCAGCAATGTGTCCATCTTGGAGCCAACTGGCATTGGCTCCATCGAGCATGGGGGCAACTTCTGGCATCTTATCACAGAAGAAGTCGAAACCTTGCCATGCAAACCAAATACAAGATATTTGCTGAAATTTCATATGGCTGAAATCTAGCTCTGACTTTCATATGTCAAAAAATGGAATAGCCATTGCCTTTCAAGGGGTGATGTGCCTTCACTGAACTGAGGTACTTAACACATAACTGTGCTGGAGTTGGCTTAGGATTTTGCTAATAACTGACTCTGGTGCATTAATTTATTGAGTCTACTTTTTAAAAAACAAATAGGCTATAAAATGTCCTCAGGGTTGTGTTTCTACTGAACTGATGTATCACACAGTTGCTTTATAACTAACCAATCTTTTTTTTTTTTTTTAAAGGATATGGCTCTCACAAAAGACACAGAATTATTGTTATTGTGACTTTTTTCCTCTTTATACTCTCTCTAGGAGTCCTAGTATTCCTACTGAAAAGAGGTATGTAGAGCATTTCCTAATAGAACTTTATTTGCGTCAAGATTATGCTCATCTTAAGGATCTGTGAAATGTATGAAAGTTTCTAACCATGGGATGTTTTGTAAAAACGGTAACTGAAACAAGTACAATTTAGGCAAAGGCTAATAGATTTGAAGGAAATGATATACTGAACTTTCTTGCATTTGGACACTGGGCTCTGAGCACTGGGCAACACTGCAGTTTGCATTTGCGTATCTCTCCTTCAGACTGGGTGTTTCATTTACTGTGTGTTTCTACTTACCAAGTATTTGTAGCCTCTCCTGTTCTTACCTGAGTGTGTTTTGACAACCTTTTTTGAGCGCATCATAGAGCTGCCCTCAAGATCAGATTTATTGTTAGGACAGGCTTATGCCGGGGCCTGTTGAATGCCGAGTCTAATCTGACAACTCAGTGTGGTCAGCTGATAAATGGGGTCTTCTGTGCCTCCTATCAGCCTGTGCCTCTTGTCATCTTGGAGTTCTGTATCTCTTGCTGCCACCTTTTTGGGTTAATGTGTCAGATTGTCCTCTGCTTTGAAAAAGAGGTGCACAGCCCTTTGTGTTTGAGAGGGCTCCAAACAGGAATACATTTCTTCATCCTATGCGTGCTCTGCATGGAGAACTCCTGTTGGCTTCCAGATGGGGTGGCTGTAAGGTGAAGAGTATGGAGTCTGTCTTCTATCTGGGAAGGACTAATTGATGATATTCTTGAGGAAGGCTCTGATCAGAACTTAAGCAGATATGTATATATTGCACGTGGACCTTATATTTTCCTGCTCATTCTCCATTTAGTTTCTGTTGGCATGGAATCATAAACTAGGTTGGAAGACATCTCTGGAAATTTCGTCCAACTTGCTGCTTAAAGCATGACTAACTTCAAAGCTAGATCAGGTTGCTTAAGGCCTTGTCCAGGCAAGCTTTGAATAGCTCCAGGGATGGAAATTCCCCAGCCTCTTTCAGCATGTGTTTAAGTGCTTGTAGTTGGCCATCAGATAGAATCAAAACTTCCCTTGAAACAATGAAGGTTTGAATATGCTAGAAAATAAACTTGTTATACCTTGGTAGGATAAGCAGTGCACAGGTATAATCAAACAGCAAAAGAGATTTGCTGATTTAAGTACAAGACTCAGAATCATAAATTAAGCTCTACCTTAGATTTGATTAGATGTGTGCTGACTTCTTGTTGCAAGAGGCCCATTCTGTTATCTTTCACTAATTGTCTTTGCCCAGAAAATTATTGCCCAAATTTGTCTTTGCCCAAAAAAACTTTTCATTCTTTATTCTTTCTCCAAGTCAAGTATTCAGTTGCATGTTCTCAGTGAATTTTTTTTTTTATTTGGTTTGGGGATGGAGGAAGGGATGGAATGGATGGAGGCTGTTAACTCGTTTCCAAAGAAGCTTTATTTCTAAGTCATTTCTTCAGGTGTTCTATTTGTTTGGATACAGGTAGAGCTAAATTTGAAGGAGGAGGAGTTGCTCAGAAGAGTCCAGTGCATGGCTCAGGTAAGACAATGTCACAAATGTCTGGAAATCAGACCGTTGCTTTAATTTGGTCTAGGCTTGTGAGTTTTTATTCTGTGTCAGTATAGTCTTTCACTGGAGAGGTAAAGGAGTAATTTTTCTTAGAGTGTACTTATTTTTTTCAGGTGAGTAGTACATACTTTCTAAAATAAATAAATTTCATTATAGGAGAACGTGAACAACTTTTCTCTGTGGAGAACGAAGAACAGCATAACTCAGACAGAGGTAAGAAACCTGCATTGCGGTATTGTTTCTAGACATCTGCTGTTGGTTGGAGCAGGAACTCTACTTTTTTGCAGGATCTAAGCTTTTGAATTGATTTTCAATGTGGGCACATGCAGACTCAAAATCTCAGCTGAGGTCCAATATGGGATAATTATAGGGACCTGCACTTAGTGATGTGTTAGTGGGGCTGGCAGAGTTAAAGACAGTGAGTCATCTGAGATTTCCCTGGTCAGCAGCTGCCTTGGGAGATGAATTCCCTTTCTATCAATGAAGAACTGGGGCTGGCCTCAGGATGAGGGCTGGAAAACTGCGCTCTATAGGGCAATCTGGCCTTTTATGGCAAATCTGCACCTTTATCACCTTAAGTAAACTGACTTCAGAAAGATTTTGTAAAGCTGTTGGCATAAGCATAGACAATGTTGGTCATGGTCTGGGACCTTAAGTGGTTGCTGGAGGAAAGTTGAAATTAACTGTGAGTCCTTTAAGTGGCATAACATACTGGTTCTCAGAAATATCTGCTAAAAGTGTTATAATGAAGTTGTCACTTTAAGGCTGAGTTGCATATTTTGCAGACTACTGTGCTATCTCCATACATATTTCTAATAAGGATTTCTGTTTCTTTGCAGCTACATTTTCACAACCTGTTCATTGTGAGAATGAAAGGCCTGAAGCAGGTAACAAGTGAAATGGTGCCTTAAAACAGGGAGAACTTGGAAGGGGGACATAATTTTGCACATGGCCTTATGCAACCTTACACATATTAGAATGTTCTCAGTATAGAGTTTACCATTCCCCTGTTGGCCTAGAAGGACCTGTTGCCTTAGGAACAGTAAATGCGGATGGGTGGATCACTAGATGAGAAGTCAGGAAGACCTGGAATCTTCTGTTGGGTAAACAGCACAGAGCAAATACCTTCTTGGGGCTTCACTTTCCCTTCTGATGTGATGAGAATGATGCTGCGTGTTGTGTTTGGAAACCACCATCTATGGGAAGAAGAACTAAGCGTATATGAGGGAACGAACCCCTTTTTATAGTAAAGAAGCAAATTACCCTCTTGTCTAATGTTACCTTTTATTGCAGGCAAAAGAGTGCAAGGGTGTTGTTGTAGGATATCATCATGAGTAGATCAACTTTGCTTTCTGAAGGAAAGAAACCCTCAAACAGGACCTGAGGCAATAAAATGCTGCAGCTTCAAAGCTTTGTGTTGATGGCAAATAGATCAGCACACCAATTTAGAGATGGGATGCTTACAAACTTGCAAAATTGCCGTTTGGGAGATAGAGCAGGCTTCTTTCCTTAGAGAAGCACCATTTTTAGATGCAGTATCTTCCACTTGCTTTTTTATGCTCTAGGAAAGTCTTTTGACTTTATCAGGCAGTTAAGCAAAGCTCCAGTTTTGTTTTCTTAATACAGTCAGTGTAAATTCCAAGGAAATTCGGGGACCTGTATTTTTTCTAAAAGTTCTTTTTACTGGAAAGGGCTAGGGAAACCAATCATTATTGTTCAAGTCAGGAAAAAAATGTGGTTTTTTTCCCCAGTCTGTTGCATTACCGATTCATTCACTCACTAACTCTTACACCATTTTCCACAAGTAGCTGATAATAAGGGGGTTGGAGAAGGCAGAATTTTTTATCCCTAATGCTGACAGTACGGAAAAGGAAAAGGAAACCTAGAATCCGCTGGGGTTTGCCACTTATTCTCCTTGCATGAGTTGTAATGGGTGTAGAACAGCTTTCTTAGTCTGAAGAAACAGGATTTGTGTAGCTAATGGTGAAGGTATGGTGCACTGTGGTATTGTCTTACCACTTTTGTAACTATTTCCACATACATAGACGGGGATATAGGAGAAGGAGGTTTATTTTATGTCTATCTTAAAGCAGAAAGGAGGGAAACATACAGTTCAGGCAAAAGAGAATCAGGTCCATAGATAAAAATTGTCAGTTTGGACATTGGAGGAATAAAAAAAATGAAATACTTTATTTTGTGGCACTATAGAGTGGGAACACCAGGAATGGGAGTTAGTGCACCTCTGCACAGTACACCCTGCAGGACTAAAGTAACAGGCAGTCACTGCTCTACTGATGGGAAGTAGTAGACAAGGCTATGATGTTCTCTGAAATGTGTGTACAAAGAAACTTTAAAGAGGGCTTCTGCTGTGTTACATGACTGCAGAGGAGAAGGTGTGCTGCTGAGCCCTGGGCAGCACAGAGCAGTGGCTTGTGCTGGTGAGGGGAAAAAGCAATGGAGTGTGCTCCTGAGGGACTGAAGGTATCCTCTGATCTCTTTTCAGACAGACAATTGAACAAGGAGGACAGTGCCCTGAAAGACGAGCAGACAGTTAACAATGCTGTAAAGAAGGAAGGTAAGTGCCTGTTCTATGGAGCAGTCAGTGATACTGACCCCGTAGGCAAAGAGGCCAGGATCCCGTCATAGAGTCACAGAATATGCTGAGTTGGAAGGGACCCATCAGGATCATCAAGTCCAACTCCTGGCCCTGTACAGAACACCCCAAGAATCGCACTGAGTGCCTGAGAGCATTGTCCTTAACCTAATCCTTCCTGCCCTTGAGGGAGTTGACAGATCCTCCCAGTCTGGTGTTTGTTGTCAGCTTGGAGTTGAAGGCTCAGAGTGACTTCTGTATAATGCTTCTTAGTGCAAGTATTGGGTGGGACTGTGCCTTGAATGCTGTGCAGTTTCAGGAGCAGAGTTAACCAGCTTTCAGGCTGTAGTTAAGGGCAGAGTGTATTTTTATCACCTTTAGAAATAACCCCAGCAGAGCATAAGGACTTGAAGGGTGTATATTTGGGAGACGATTGAGATTTAAAAAAAGAAATTTAAAAAAGTAATCCCAGTCAGAGTGAGATGAGAATAAAGATCAAGTGACAGTCGCTGCTGAAGTGCCAGCTTCTGTTTTCTGCTGCCTCTTGGGAGTTCTCTGCAAGGAGGCCCTCATTTCCCCAGTGTGTGCACATGAAGCACGTAAGTGAGGAACAGGAATTGATGTAACTAACTAAGAGGAAGGTTTGCCAAGGAGAAGCTTGGTCTGGAGACGTTGCTGCTTTGTGGAATGTAGTCAGGCTGGCCTTCATTGTCTCTGACGGAAGACAGTACTCTCTATGTCTGTCTGTCTTCGACCTCCCGGACATCTGCTGGAAAGGCAATGCAACAATTCAAGCTGTCAGAAGATTTCTGGGCAGCACAGGGGACAACTTCTTCACACAGGATACTGCATGTACCAGCAAGGGGCGGGGTACAGCTGTATCTGCTACTCATTTGCAGAGGAAGGACTGGATGGGGATTGGTCACAAATGGCTGCATTGGCTGTAGTGACCAAGAAACAGCTCCAGATACTGAGAGGAGTGGCGAAGGTGAACATCAGAGTACGGGCCCTGTGCTTATGGAGAGCAGATTTCCACTTATTCAGGAAGAGAGTAGGTAAGATCTTGTGGGAGACAGTTCTGAAGAGCAAAGGAGGTCAAGAGAGCCATCAGGCCTTTAAGGAGGACTTTCTCCAAGCATGAGCACAGGCCATGCTGATGGTAAGGAAAACAGGCAGGAAAATCAGAAAATCACCTTGGCTAATCAGGGAGCTCCTGACAGGGTTCCAGTGCAAAAATGCTTATGCTAGATGTGAAGGCAGGGACAGACTACAGTGGAGGAATTTAGGAACACTGCCTAGGCAGGTAAGCAGGATGTTAGGAAAGCCAAAGCTCAGGGAAGCTGTATGTCTTCATTAATTGATGCAGGTCAATCAGGCTCACTTTCATCCCTGGGAGAATCCTGGGACAAATCTTGCAGTGTGTTTCTGATCAGAGAAGAAAGCTGGTGACTGCTGAGTAAGTGTCCAAGTTATCAGCCTTTTATGGATGAAATTACTAGATTTGCAGATGAGGGAAGAACAATGGGTGTCATATACCTTGACTTTAGCAAGGCTTTTTATGCAGTGTCCCCAGCATTGCTGTAGTCCTAAACTGGGATATCCTAGTCTGGAGTGATGTCTATCTAAATGGGTAGAAAAATTGCCAGCTTCTCAAGCCTGCGGGTCATGGTTAATGGTTTGCACTCCACATAGATGCCAATGGCAAGAGAACTACTGCAGAGATCTGTAATTTCATTTTTTGGTGATCTGGACAAGGGAGAGAAAACAGTGTCATGAAGTTTATAGATGACAGCAAAATGTAGAGTGCAGTCACTCAGTATAAGGGCAGAGTAGAGGACTGTGTAAACTTCATGAAATTCTGCAGGAGCCATGCAGGGTCCTGCATCTGGATGGACCAACACCCTACACTCGTGCAGGCTGAGGAGCAGCTCTGCTGAAAGGTACCTGGGAGTCCTAATGGACAGTGCATAATGAGTCAGCAGTGCTCCCTGGAAGCAGAGAAGGCTGAGAGCATCTTAGGCTGTTCTAAGGAGTACCAGTGGATTGAAGAAACTGGTTATTTTCACTTGTTAGATGTGACATGTGAAGTATTTCATCTAGTTTGTGGCACACCTAGTGCTGGAAGAGTGCCACCAGGCTGGAGCACAACTCTTCCTCTGAGGAGAGGTGAAGAAATTGGGCTTGTTCAACCCCAGAGAAGAGCAGGTTTTCAGGGTACATAACAGAACTGCCAATACCTATGGGGATGTTGATAAGAAGGCTCAGCCACCGTGTTTACTAAGGTCTATTTAGCAGGGTGTCAAGGTGATGGTCCGAAATTGAAGCAGTGGAGATTCTATGTGGATATGATGAAAAAGATTTCTGTTTTTAAGTATAGCTAATCATTAGGACAGTCCACAAAGAGTTATCATGGAGTTTCTGCTGTTGAAGGTTTTTAAGACCTGACTGGAGAAAGTCTTGAGCAACCTGTCTAGAACTGAATTACAACCTTTCATTGAGAATGGTGTTGGGTTAAAGACGTCCTGGTCTCTCTCCCTGAGTGAACCCGAGTGTTTCTGTTTGTCTTATGAGTTGTAGCTGGTGATTCATCTCTAAGCAATGACTGACACCACTGTGAAGTTAAGCAGTGAGATACTCCTGAGAACTGTAGCTCTACTGTGATCTCTTTTTCAGAACTGTCTGCCATGCAGAACAGCACCCTGACATCCAAGTGTGCAGTTGATGATGCTGTAACTGAGGAAGGTGCGTGCCTGCTCTGAGACGTGGAAGCTGTCCTGAGGGTAAAAGTACTGGGTTTTGGTGTTAGCTGATGATGTTGGCAACATGTTGAGTTGTAATTAGTAACTCAGTCTTATGCAATAGAGCCATAGCTTGAAGCTGAGCAAGGCAAGGGACTGTAGTTGTCTTCTGATCTCTGTGCATACATCTTTAATGAGAACATTTAGCATGTGGGCCTACCATGCATAGGACTATGGCATAAATGAAGGTGGTAAGTGCCTGCACTGTGGAACAGTATTTGTTCATTGTGACTTTCGCCTAATGCTTCCTGATGTGCGGTTATGGGTGGCACCATGGGTGCTGAATGCCTCCCATGCTTGGCCTTCACAGTATCTGTAAAGGATCATGAACACAGTGCAGTCAAGTATGGAGGTGAGAGGGGAGGTGTCGAATGGTGGTCCCGTGGGGATGGGGGATGTTGGCCAGGGTTATTATTCATGCCAAATGAATGGCCCAGATCCCAGTCAGATTATCCTCAATCCATCTGGGCCAGAGAGGCAGAGTGTTGGGAGGGCCAGGGTTGTCTGAGTATTGCCTTTGTCCTTGCAGAACTGACAGAGGTTGCGGAAGGTGGAAATGAGGAGCACTTGAACAACTCCCACAGCTGCAGTTTAGAAGGTATGTGAGAATGAAGCTCCCTGTGCCCTGGAAGAGTGTGCTGACTGGCACAGAGGTTGGGAGTGGCACTGCTGGGCCAGGGTGTGTAGGACTTTGACACCTTTATACTCAGGTAGAAAATAAAGAGTGAGAGGAAAGTAGGAGGAAAGTGGCGTGTGTGTGGTGGGCATGTCCCTGTGTGATATGTGATAGGGAATCAGGTTTATGATGGAAGAGTACAGAAGACTGGCCAATTTAGCCAGTTTAGAATGACAGAATGGTTTAGTTTGGAAGGGACCTTAAAGATCATGTAATGCCAACCCCCCTGCCATGAGCAGGGAACATTCCATTAGACAGGTTATTCAGAGCCCCATCCAACCTGACCTTGGACACCTTCAGGAATGGGGCATCCACAGCCTCTCTGGTCAACCTGTTCCAGTGCTTCCTCACCCTCATAGTAAAGAATTTCTTCCTAATATCTAATCTAAACCTACCCTCTTTCATCTTAAGGCCATTCCCCCTTATCCTATCACTCCATGCCTTTGTGAAAAGTCCTCCAACCTTCTTGTAAGCTGGAAGGTACTGGAATGCTTTTACAAGGTCTCCCCAGAGTCTTCTCCAGGCTGAACAGCCCCAACTCTCTCAGCCTGTCTTCGTAGGAGAAGTGTTCCAGCCCTTTGATCGTCTTTGTGACCCTCCTTGGACTTGTTCCAACAGGTTCAGATTCCTTCTTGTGTTGGGGGGTCCCGAGCTGGACACAGTGTACAACTGTAGGATTGACTGTTACTAATATTCATTAATAGCTCACCTCTTGCTCATGCTTGTACTTTGACTTTATTCCATGCCTTAACAAGGGATAAAGGCTTACAGTGGCTGAGGGGTCAGTCAGGTAGTATGTTTATTGCCCTCAGTAGGTGGATTCAAAGTTCAGCAATGGTTCATAGTAACATCTTAGCTTTGTAGACACACTGGCTATGAGAAAATTTTATTACATATTTATGCACAGTTTTGCTTAGAATCATAGAATGCTTTAATTTGGCCTTGTGAAAAAATCTTACACAACTCCTGTGAAATTACTTCTAAGCAGATCATCAGTAAAATACTTGGAACATACACACCCAATTTATATATATATATATATTTCTGAATTATACATTATTACTACCATACTCAAATATTATGTGCATTCTAAAACTTGCACAAAAATAAAAATTAAAAATGGTAGGGATGAAGTAAGCAGTGGGTTTATTTTTTAAATTTTATTAATGGTGCAAAAATACTTTTTTCCTGCGCCACACTGGATTGCCTTGTGCACACCCACTTTGGAGTCTGCTGATGCAGATAATCCATTTAAAGATTCTCAAAAATGCACAGCGATGTGGAAGCAAGTGGCACCTTAAGTGCTGCAGAGTTTTTTGATCTGCCAGTTTTGATACTTCTGTTGAATTACCAGCCAAGCAATCACATTCTGATCTTTGCTGAAGACAATGCTGAAAAGAGGAAAAAAGTCTCTGAAGAAACATGGATAAGTGGAAGGGTGGGAGCCAGTTAGGACTAAGTATAAGAAACCTGACTCTGTGATGCGGACAAAGCTGCTGATGAAACTGTCTCGAAACAAGGAAACAGACTTGAAACAGGGCTGTACAACTGTAGAGGAAGCTGTGGTGTCTCCTGATAGCTGAGTCAGATCCTGTTAGTTACCAAGGAATAATACAGAAGACCAAATGAAGTCAGTGTACTATTGCTGGCCTACGTGATGTGCTGCTTTGCACAGGCTGTGTACTTGGCTGAACTGTGCCCCTACGTCACACTTAAAGGTTTAACATCTGAAATGGTTCTGTTGTTACATCGTGCCAAGACGTCAGAGGTCTGTGCCTGCTTTAGTGCTGTTTGCAAGCCATGTCAGAACAGAGCATTTGCATGGTTTGTGAGGAGTATGAAACCTGATGCTTCTGACCACTGCTATAAAATGAGAGAATGCTTTTTCATGTTTAGACCCTCTCACTGCATAGACACAAGGAAATATTTCACACACACCCATGCCTGCCCCAGCTGGTATTTTGATCGTGTTCTTTAGTCTTGTCATCAAGCTGGCATAAGTCAGCTGAAGGTAAAGCAGTAAACCTGCTTGGATTTTAAACATACAAATCACAGAAATACTTCAGGCTGATCTAGGAACGCTGTGAAGACCAGACTAGGGACATCTTTTTTTTTCTCATTGTCTACAGATATAAGTACCATATCTCACCAACATCTTATCCTAGGTTGGATTGGTGCTGAGCTAGAGATTAGTGGAAGGGACAGATAGTCCTATCAAAATAGAAGCAAAGACTGAAGGGCATAGTGCCTTGTCACATCCAGGTGGTTGCTTTTATTCAGTTGCTATGTGTGCACCAAGGTGGAAACACCGATGTAACTGGGCTTGTGTATGCTTTATTGGAAATCAGCCTGGTTAGAGACTGATGCACGTTGCATGTGGTGAGTTAGGTTGGGCACGCAGCATTGAACTTGCTGGATTCTGACTTCCTGTACTGCAACTTCCCTTTGCCTTCGGTTTCCTCCTTGTCAAATAAGAGCTGTATTTGCAGTTGTCAAAAGAGAAAACTCCAAAAACACTTGGAATATAGTGTGTGGAAGAAATAGCAGAGTATCGCAACCATGTGTGATGCACAACTGATACTAAGATTGCATGCATAAAACCTTTGCATAGAAGTGGTCTTAATTGCCTGTTTGTGTGATCCAAAGTCACCGAACCAGAACAGCTTAGCAGGTGGCTGGCAGTAAGTAATAAATGTTCTTAACATGCTGCAGTTGCAGAGGAACATGTCTAATCATCAACAGATAATTTGGGTAAAACATCTAGTGGCATCAGATACCATGGGTCACATAGCTGCTCTAATTGGATTATTGTAAGTCATGTGACAGTGTCTTAATTCATCTTCCCACTTTAGTAGTATTTAAAGATTACAGTATTCTCATATAATTGCTTACATTGATAGAAGAAAAGATAGTAATTTACCTGTGTGCTTTTCTTATTCTTTTGTTTCAGATCTTAAATCATAAGCAAACAATCACTTTTTGGATCAAAGAAAGACAGAAGAGAAGCAATAAAATGCAATTGTGAAGAAGCTGCTACGTTTTCCCTTGAAGCTCTTCCACGAGCAATGAAGTTAGCAGAGCTTCATAAAGAACCACTTTGAAGGCTAGTTGAGCAGTTTCCAGTGCCTGTTTTTCTTTTCTCAGAAGGGACAGCATCCTTTTCTAGTGTTACTGTGTGAAGATAAATAGGCTGAATCATGGAAAAAAAAACTTTTTAATTGTTCTGTCTTCAGTTTTTAGTGTTCTACTAACACAGAATGTAAGAGCTAAGGCCTAACTGCTCAGCTTTATATGCAATTTTTGATCAGTACTTTTTTACAGTCAGAAGAAAGACAGCTCATCCTTCAGCAGACCCAGATGGATGGAAGTTGCATTTTCTAGTCTTGGTTATCCAAGAGGAACTCAGTGCTCCAGACAAAGCTGTCTCTGGGAGTCAGAAGCCTGGCAAACTTATAATCTCCTGACAGTGGTTCATTTTGAGATTAAACTACATTGCAGTTTGTTGTTGCACTGGAACAAAGTTGCACTGCCATTAGCAGTGTTGTTTGGGGTTTTTTTCTAAAGCTTTTTATAATGTTTGCACTTTTAGGGTTCTTTTTTTTTATGTCTTATCTTTTGCTTCATGTTATTCTAGAAGAATGTCAACCTACTTATCTCTAAAGAATAGTAATATATTTTAGATTGCTTGCTATTTGAAAGAAAACGTGAAAACTGAGGTCATGTATATAATGAAACTCAAGAGGAATCAAAAAGTAAAAAGGCCAGCCAGGTATTGATGTTTTCAAAACATCAGATAATGAAGTGCTTTTCACTACTTCTGCATGCTGGTTGTTTATGAAAGCTGAAAGCCATTTCAGTTGATTTTGAACTTGGTATGTGTAAAGAATCACGAAAGTTTGAGAATGGCAACTGGAGAACCCCTTTTATCTTTCTTCTTGTTTCACTGCAACCACCGCTCTTGACCAGTCTGTGACCATCAGTCGCACCAACAGGATTTTTTCCTCTCCTTTTATTTTTGGACTCAGGGGGACCATGTGGGGCTCAGCACAGGGGCCAACGAACATCATTCTGTTCGTGCCCCAGAGTGCTGGGTTATACACCTGGGTTTTTGTGGGTTAAAAACCAGTTGTTCGTCTGTATAATTGTATTTATTGTATTATTTTTATTAAATTGTAATTCTGACTTATAATCTCTTTTGAGTTGGGTTCATTTCTCCTGCCGGTTTACCTTTAAACCAGCACAAACTGCTGTGCATCCACTGCAGTGCTCCAGTCATACAAGCTGCCTCACTGTGTCCCTGTCACTACAACAGCATTGTAGTTCTTTGAGCTCGTGGAGAGCTATATTCTGCCTGCTTGCTTTCCACACTGCATGTATTTGTGCATGCATCTTCTGCCCCCTTCTGCCAATTTTTTTTTCTTTCTGAGGTCTGTTTTGCTTCTGTGACACTGTACCCTTCGGACTTCTATCCTCTACTTCTTAACTAACACTGTGAGAAGGATCCCACGTAACTTGTGCCCTTACCATGTCCTATTGTAGGAATAACAGACCCTACAGAAAATGAGCTCTTTGCTTATTGCTACACATACTGCATTTCAAAAAGATCTTTTGGTAGGGCTAGATACCTTACCTCTACTGTAAATATTTATTTGTAATTTATTTTAAAAATACGATGTAAAAAACGTTATATCTTTTTGTGATATATGCATGCACTTTTTATTTAACCTTAGAAATCTGATCCCAAAAATATTTATATATAAAAAACCATCAGTTCAGGTTAAGATAATTTTGAAGTCCCTGTTCCTAAACCAACTGTCCTCCATTGCTCCACCAATGAATTTATGAGGATAATGCTGTCTTCTTCTTAGTAACTTTTTAACAAGTATCCACACAAAGATGTCCTTTGTCATGTGTGTTGTGGTAAGAGTAAATCTGTAGCTTGTTTTCCTGTTTAGACAAAGGCTTGTTTTCTGTTATTACTGTGAGAAATAATGGTAAAAAATGATTATCTGGAGGAACTGTCTGAAATTTCCTCCCAGAAACTATACTCATTCATTTAATGGTCTCTCCATTCATCATGTGTAATTTAATGTTAAACAGCAAGCAAAAGTCTCACGTAGAGTGTGGTTTTGAAAATTCCTTGACACTTGATACCACTGACATTGTTTCCAAAGCAAAAAGCAATGGCCTTCAAAAATAGTAAGCAGTTGTGGTTAATTATGCACAGCTGCTGGAAGTCTTCAGTATAGTTCATGGAATATTGGAGCTTTATCAGAGTAGAAAACCCCACTTTTATGGCAGGCTGACATAAGAGCAAGAACTACAGGCTCTACAGTTTCTCACTGACTGCTTGCACCCGTTCACTTTGCAGTGTCTGCTGTACATGAGAAATTTCTGGTAGAACTGTAGACTTTGCAGGTTTCAAAGCAACAGTGAAGGGTTTTTTTACTGTTATTTTTGTTTCTTTGGTTTTTATGAGGGGTAGATTTGGGGTTTTTTTCCTATAGGGATGTGTAGGCAGACATTTGGGAGAGTAAATTGACCTGACTTCCTGTTGTTTTTTGTGATTGCATTTGCAGTGCCATTCCCCATGTTCCTCTCTTCAAATGTCTCCTGAACAATAAATAACTGAAGCAGAATAAACTTTTTTTCCCTGTGAAAAGCTTGTGTCCAATCTTATCTTGCAGCAAATGCAAAAATAGGCCATTTTCAATAGCAGAAACTCACTCAAGATGCAAAGAGTTATTTCTGGCCTGTGTACAACTTGAATCCAGGAAATGCTGACTGTATTCCAGGAAGTGAGCCTGTCCCCTGGCATCCCTGAGTCCCAGCACATGCTGATGTGGAGACCTCATTTTTGCCACTAGGATAAACTCACAGGGAGTAGAAGCTATTGCTGAGTGCTTGTGCTCATAAGACACATCCTGATTAATTCCTTGGTCCTGAATCTCTTTTCTCTATGCTAGCTTTAACCTACAAAATTAGTGCCTGCAGGAGATGTTAATTAATCCCAGAATAAGTGAGATCAGAGCTCCATTGTACTGTAGAAATGATTGTATGGATTTTAGGCATCAAATTCAAGCCACAGTCGTGCAGGCTGCTTTGTGTTGTGCTGCCATGCTCAGGCTAGCTTTTAGTTGTTTGCAAGCACTCTGTTCTCAATTTAGCAGTGCTAGCTGAAAAGTTGCACCTTTCACACTTGATCACTGGCTGTGCAACTGTTGGGAACGATCTCTGACAGATTATAGTGTGAAAGCAGTCCTGTGGTTTGAAACAGCCTTCATCAGTGCCCAAGAGCTAACTTCATATGGAGCTACACCAGCAGAGTTGTGAGGACTGGCTTCCAGGAGCAAAAAGCTGGGGACAGCAGGAACACCAACATGCAGTATGTTGCCTTTTGAGCAGATGTAGCTGTACCTTAAAACCAGGGGTTGATTACACCTGGCAGACTGCAGGAAGTTGATGCACACCCTATGTGCCATGCTGCTGCAACCTAAGTTTGCAACGCTCTTCAAGCAGTAGCAGGTAATTTACTGACACCCAAAGCAGCATGGAGGAGGTGAACTTGTTTGCTTGGCTACCTCTGGGTGCAGTTTGAACTGTGGTATAGTGACGAGGACATGAAACATTTCTATGGACCCTGACGAGCACCTGAACAAAATTTGGAGGAACTTTGCTATAGAGTTGACCTCAAGAGAACTTTCCTCCTTAAAAGATGGTGGGTGGACTTGACTGTAGGGTGCTGTGTTGACCACTGTGGCTTAACTAGTGCAGCCATGAGAGAAATCAGTGTATCCTGTGCCCGAAGATGCATCCAGGTTTCTACTCTGTCAAGTTTTACATGACCCAAGTATAAAACTTGGGTCAAAACTTGAGTATAATGCAGCTGCTGCTTCTGTTGGGTAACTGAGGGTACGCCTATGATCCCAAAACTTGTCAATTTTTTCTAGCAACTGTGCCTCTCTACCTAGAAAAAATAATTCCTAACCTTATAAATCACAAGTTTCTTTCCCATTTAGAATGTGTTTTCCTCTTCTGTCATGTCCAGTTGTGTTTGGTTACCATTCCTCTTCACTGGGGAGAATCAGGATGCTTTGAGTATGCATTTTGGATACTTGTTTGGTTCCTGGGGAATAGGGGGGAAAGAGAGTGTAGAGTTGGACCAGGAAGGCAGAATGGAGGGGAACTGAGTGATGAATGGTAGGTGGATAAGTGCAAAGAAGGTCTTGAAATTGTGCGCAGAGTACTGTAAAACAGACTATTTTAGGGCTACAAGGATAAATCAATACCAGAATGATGTTTTGAAATGCTTGCCTTATGCAGTAGGTTGTGTCTTGTAGTCCTGGCAACAGAGGAGCCGTGCCTTTCCATTGGTATCAGCATTTCCCTGCTAGGTCTGGTTGAGAAATACATTTTCAGAGGTTTCACTTCCAGTTGCAAGTTCTGAGTTTTAAGTGAATGTAAAGCTAAACTAAATAACTCATTTAACTAAACTAATAAAAAAGAAGTCCTTGGTGATGGTGGTGTCTGTTGTGTAAGCTGGAGGACTGTCTCAGGGAGACAATATTTAAAAGAGGCAAGGAGCTTTAGATGCCTGAATGGAAGCCTGAAACTCTGTGTGTCCGGGTGGCATTGCTCTGCTGGGGCAGGACTTAGATCCAGCAGTGTAGGGAATTACTCCCAAGTTCTTTCTGCTGTGTGGAGTGGGAACTTTTCCAAGGAAGGCCATTGATTCAGAGATGAATCACCTATGGATTAGCTGTTTTGCATTTTTTGCATTAAGAGCTGTGGGAGGCATGTTGCTGCCCGATTACTCAGACAAAGGGCATTTAGGGAGTGTGGGAGTGGCTTGCACTGTGGAGTGGTTTGTTGTAGATACTTTCAAGGGCCAATATTTTTTTTTCCTAAAGAAATTAGAAACTGACTAAGACATGCGACATTTTATCTTATCTTTGGGACATGGGAAAGAGGAGTCTGGACCTCTGGGGGAAATGATCTCATTATGATTTAGGGTAATGCAAAGGCAGCAGGCAGGATGGGCCAATACTTGGCTTTAATAAGAAAACTATAAGGAAGTGGCAGTGGGACTGAGGTTGAAGGCTTTCATGGCTGAGGGCCAGCCCATGGGGGTGGGACACTTGTAACCTGTAAAAAGATGCTGTGGATCACATTTCCCTTTACACATAAACTGATGGTGTTCTGTGCTTGTGTTCTGGGTTCTGAGGACCCTTCTATTTCCCGTTTCCACTGCTTTTCCTTTGCTCCTCAAGAGCAGGAAAAGAAAATCTTTACCAGGGCACCACAATTTTGCCACTGAGGAGTTAAGCAGGTTCCATGCAGCGCTTTATTGCTCAAGGTCCTTTCACAGCTGATAAATTACATCCACTCTGAAGCGTGCCAGCATCCTGAGAAACATTTCACTGGCTTCCAGTGTTGTGGACCTGGTTGGTTCCTGTAGCCAACCTAGCAGGTAAGAAGGTCATGGAAAATAATACCTAATTTGGGACCACTGTTATATGATCCCCAAATAAATCAGTGCATGAAATGCCAACCTGACTACTGTTCTTAGGCTCCATCATGGCTCTGAATCACAAGTTTTGCTCAACAGCACTGGTTAATGAGAAAGTCCTCTGGTCAACTCTGCTGTATATTAACCAGAACTCATTTAATATGCTGCTTATAATCAGTATACTATCACAGCTGTAACATAAATGGTGAACTGAAACACTGTAATCACTAGTGATATGCTCCATATTAATAGTTATTTATCATCTGGTTATTTTTCAATTCTTTCTTTCTGAAACCAAATAAATTATGGCATAAGTTCTTTGTAGCAGCAAAATAAAACACTGAAAGATTAGAGATTGTTGAATTCAATCCTTTCTGCACTGTCTTCCCTTATTCCCCCATTCTGAAAATAGACTTTCCAGCAGATTGTGAAATTGGTGGTAAATAGTTCCTGCTTCAACATTTTTATTTTTTTTGCATTAACTTTGTGTAACCCCCTGGTGTTCTCTTTTGAGTATAACCTGAGATGTACTTTAAAGTAATTCACTTTCTTTCAGATGTTATAATGCCCACACCATAGCATCTGGCCATTTCCCAAACAAATTTTCTGTCTAAGGCAGACAGTGGTACTATCCCCTTTTTACTGACGGGCAAACTGGTGCACAGTGAGGTTATGGCCAA